CAGCGCAACTATGCTCCCCGTTTACTAGCTGGTGCTATTTTTTTCTGCTTTTCTGTTGGCCCTGTTATAATCATAAACTACGTGAATATGAGCAACGGATAAATACAAAACAAATTGTGCTATTGTTTTCGCGAAAGAAACGAACTTCACAAATGAGGGGAGAAGCTCGAAGAAGATTATTTATCATAGGGCTAATGCAAGCGGGTATGTCGTACAATAATCCTAAGCATAAGGCTAATCACCGCAGGCTATATTACCTATTCTATTCCAAGCAAAGATCACATGTTGATTTGTCAACAAGAGAAAAAAGGGACCTCTTAAAGATTTGTAGTGAGAATCATATTATGTGTGCGTGTGTATATGAGTATATTATATATATATATATATATGTGTGTGTGTGTGTGTGTGTGTGTGTGTGTGTGTGTGTGTGTGTGTGTGTGTGTGTATGTGTGTGTGTATGTATATAGTGTAGGAAAGGTATAAATGAGAATGAATATCTTCATAATGTATCTGACCGGTTTCGATTATATCTTCGCCAGAAATACATACATCAAAGGTGCAGATGCAGAACTTCCGCTGCCGAGACATCACTTCGTTCGCCTGGTGAAGTTATGCATGGACTTCGGCTACTTCGAATTTACTGGGGAAGAATACCAGCAGATAAGTGGTCTTGCCATGGGCTCCCCCCTGAGTGCAGTCATGGCCTGCCTGTTCATGGAGACGCTGGAGAAGGATAATTATAAGGATATAATCGGTAGACATTCAACTTGGCACGACCAAGTTGTAAGTTATAAGCAACATACATACTCTGACGCGACTTAACTCCGTCCACGAAAAAATCCAGTTCACCGTGGAGGAGGAAGAGGATCAGAAATTACTATTCTTGGATTCTCTGATCCATCGGGGAGACGACGGCCTACGTTTCTCTGTATACAGGAAGCCTACAAATAAATAAGATTATATCCATTACTACTCTGCCTACAGCAACAAAAGAGAATCTGGTGTTGTAATCGGCTTCTGCCTCAGAGCACTGAGGATCTGCAGCCCTGAATTTCTTGAGGATGAGGTTGCCTATATAATCAATTCCTTCCTGAAACATAAATATCCCAGAGGCTTCCTACTAAACCCCAGGAAGAAGGCGGAGAGTATAATCACAAAATCAAACCCTGCACCTTCTTCTAATGATTTTCTCATATTACCGCCGTGTAACATTTCCCAGGCGAGCAGCAGATACTTCGGCAATACAGTGAGAATCGGCAGCACATCCGGGAAAAAGATACATGACATGATACGAGACAAGAAGCAGCCCGAGCATAACCCTAACAGTGCTGTATACTGCATACCCTGCAGCAGATGCGATACAGCATACTTTGGTGAAACAGGTTTCAGCACCAGGATCAGCGAACATCGAGCTGACATCCGTCACCATAGTGGTACATATAGATGAAGCTGGACATCTACCCAATTGGAAAGAAGCGAAAATAGTCCATGGAGGACTGAACAGGCAGAAAAGAAAAAATATGGAAGCTGCTTACATGGCGACGGAGAATAACATCAACGCAGCATCGGGCAGATTCAAACTATCCAAGGTCGCGGCAACAATTATACGAACAACGAGTAAGAGGTCACAGTCGTCAGGTTGTTCGTCAGCTTATGTCTGATATATATATATATATATATATATATATATATATATATATATATATATATATATATATATATATATATATATATGGATGACATATCTGGCAATGAGTAAGAGAGGTGTCACGGTTAGATCGGTGATAATATGTGCTAAAAATTGCGAGTGAGAAGTGATCAGTGAAAGTGCTACATAAGATAGAATGATTCGTGAATATATAGAGCCTATATTGCAACCAAAATAGAAGTGATAACTCATCCAAATGTCTCATAATTCTATAAAATTCAATATTGGTCATGCATACGTGGATGTTTTAAACTTAAAGGGATGCCAGAAAGTGCCAACTAGGACTCCTAGGCCTCATCAACATGCTACATAAGTTCATAAGGTCCCAATGCTCATCGAGATTGCCACAGTAGATAGAATCAAGAAAAAAAATCACTTCCCACCAGGAAAAGAATACCAAATTACGATACCATTAGGAAATGGCAAGCATCACCGGTCCCCATACCCACAGGACGCCGAGCAACTGCCAAATCGCACGGTTATTACAGTTCAGTTTCCCCTCAAACAGATTCCCTACGGAAGAACCAAACCGCCAGTATGTAAGTACAGTACATCACAAAATCAGGTAGGTCAAAACATAGTTACCTTAAAGCGCCAATATAATCAGGTATTCGACAGAAGTCCCGCCAGATAAGCTATGCATTAACAAAGCGTAATTCAAGCGATGGCACCTCAATCGAGTGCCAGACGCTGACCCCGTGACCCGCGGCCGGCCGAGGGCGCAGGCCTGTAACGAGCACAAGGGATGTGAATTTAGAATGACCCAAAATTCGTCTAGAAACCCCCCCTGTATACACCTCACTTAGTCTTTATGCATATGTATTATTTAAGTATACCTCAGTTTTTTAGCTTTAATTATTTGAGAAAAAGGTACTTTATTATTTTTCTAGAAAGATGATATTTTATTTTAATAGTTTTACATGAAATTCTATATATTCCAATATTATATTTTTCTAAGATAAGAAAATTGTAAAATATGATAGTCTACCCTACAAAATATAAGCTTTTTTGTTACCCCCACCATACATTCTCTTTATTTAAAGGGTACGCTATTATATTACAATAGTATTATTATATTAAGGTTGTATAATTGATATTTTTGTAAAAAAAACCATATATATTATTTTTGTTAATGGAAGGATCCATTTAAGTTCTGAAAATTATGCATGTATAGATTAAGAAGGACTGTATAAGTGTAATATATGTGATCTGAGTAGACTTTAATATTCAAAGTATATACAGTGCTAAATCCTGAAAACATAGCTATAATCATAGAGAGAGAGATCGAGATCAGAGAGGAGTGCCATACAGCAGCCTGAAAAAGTATTTGATTATCGTGAAATATCTGAGCTCGAGGCTGGCACATGGCACATGGCTCTTGAATAACATCCGATGTGTCTCTCTTGTTTATAAGAATTTAAAACCCATTCAAAGAGTAAGTGTTCTTGGCATTCATAATTGTATAATATTATAATGATATTTAATCAAATATTACGATAATATATTACTCAGATCGTATATAATAACATAGATATATAATTTGTTTGTTTGTAAGAAATATTGTTTTTCATCTTACAAGAACTGATTTACTTACATTTAATAACTTTATATTGGTTATCATTCCTAAACTAGAATTTTGTTTCTTTTCTAGGAGTGGGTTTTTTTTTGTTTCTTTGTTTTGTTTTGTTTTATTTTTTTATGGTTTGTTTGGTTCTTCTGAAGTTGTGATTTATGCGTCCCTGGGCCTGTGAACCAGAATGAAAGAGCCCAGGACATTGATGAAGACAAGGAAAGAAGACACCTGAGAAGAACCAGAAGAATAAAAGTGACAGGTTGGAATACAACCATTTGGGACATTTATTTTTGTAGATGAAAGTTTATTTTACTGTAGAAATGTAATGATCTTCAACTCAATATATCAACAACAAATGTAAACTTATTAAGTGGTTTGATATTATCCCCTTCTCTCAGTTACCTCTAAGGCTGAAATTAGATCATAAGTAACCTGTATGAATATATATATTTTAGTGTGGGTTCTAAAGAGTACTTTTGGAGAAACCACACACTTGTAATAACAGATAGTGCCCCTCTGGATAAAGTCTGAGTGGTTCCCAGAGCAAAGAGTAGTAATAAGGTCTTTGCTAAGGAGCTTAGAAAAGGGAGGGCGCAATATAGGCCGGTAGGCTTAGCAACCGCTAAGGAATGCAACACTTCTCCGAAAAACTGCCAGATACAAAATCATCTTTCTAACTCCCTCTAACCCCAAACCCCATCCTTACTCATTCCAACGTCATCCTAAATCCTCCTCTCCCATTCTATGAACATTATAATGCATGGGCTCATTATAATGGAGTGCGTATGTGCGCTCATGCAGACACTGTTCAAACGTTTGTGCACGAGTATGAGTGTGTATACATGGTAGTGCGCTGATGTATACAAATTGTGTGTACGTATCCATGTGTCTGTGCATGAAAGAGAATCAATATATACGTAGATATGTGTATATGTGCGTATGTGCGTATGCATTCATATGGGTGTATTTATATTAATGCATATGTATGTGCGAGTATGTGCATGTGTATGTACATATATGTTTCTGTGGAGATGCGTATATATGTGCATAAGTAGAAGTGTTTGTGTAGGTATATGGATATATGTATGTATGTACATATGTATGGGCAGTCATGTGTGTATGTACATATGTGTGTATGTTGGTGGATATATACATGTGTGTATATGTATATATGCATATGTGTATATGTATATATGCATGTGTGTATATGTATATATGTGTATATGTATGTATATGTGTGCATATATTTGTATATGTATATGAATGTATAGATATACATAGATATACGTATGTATGTGTGTGTGCATGTATGTATATATATTGTATGGATATTCATAGTCATAGGTATGTATTCAAGGTATGTGCCCATGAATACGCATGCATAAGCGTGGGTGAGTACTTACATATGTACGCGCATATGAAGTGCACGTATGTTTATATATGTGTATGCATGCGCATAGGTGTAGTAGTGCATAATGATGCTCCCTTGCATATCATATGCATAAGAGCATTGTAAAGGCGTACGCCTTCATGTGATTGTGCACGAAGTGACCATATGCGTAGTACTTAGGGCATTTGTGGGTGAGCAACTATGTCTGCACTGAGCATACATACGCACAAATAAAATCAGTGTATAAAATACAACCACACTTATACGCACTTCTGATACTCAAGCCCATGCTCACGGGAGTATACCCTGGTGTAGTGAGCAGGCCCGTGTGGTACTGGTCATAAGCCCATACTAGACAGGCCCAGCCTTACTGGAGGGGCTTATCAGTGACATCCCGGCTAAAATACTCCCCCTCCCACCAAGATACATTTAGGCCAGTAGGCGGGAGGTAACTCGGCTGTCTACCTCACAATCGAAACCCATGATTACACAAACAAAGCAACTGCCCTCATTCCCCGGAAGCGAAGGAGCCCCTGGTTACGGCGGCGATCAGGATCGCTCCGGAGCAGAGGGTGCTAAGAATCTCCGGCAAAGAACAGGCCGCCCCACGTTGATGAACCTTCGCACATATAATATAAGGACAATGAGAACAGAATCCGACTTACTAGCATTACTTGAGGAACTCTCCTTCATTAAATGGGATGTTGTAGGACTCAGTGAGGTTAGAAGACTAGGCGAAGAACAGAAGATACACGTGCTCCATTGGAGAGGTAAACCTCAGGGTAGCAAGCAAGAATTAGGGGTAGGTTTCTTAGTTCACAGACGTTTAGAAAAGAATATCGTAGAATTCCATAGTATAAGCGAAAGAGTGGCTTCAGTAACAATAAAACTTAATAATAGGTACAACTTAAAGATTGTTCAAGTCCATGCTCCAACCTGCAGCCACAGTGATGACGAAATAGAAAGCTTCTATGAAGATGTTCATTTAGCCAGCGAATGAGTAAAAACCCATTTCACAACAATTATGGGAGATTTCAATGCCATAATAGGTAAAAAGACAGAAGGAGAAACCGTAGTGGAGAATCACGGAATAGGCACTAGGAATGAGAGGGGACAAATGCTAGTCGACTTTGCGGAGGCTCGATCACTCAATATCATGAATACATTCTTCGAAAAAAGACTAGAGCGGAAGTGGACATGGAAGTCGCCATCGGACATCAAAAACGAAATTGACTTCATAATTTCAAATAGGCGCGATATAGTAAAAAATGTGGAAGTTATTAATAAGGTAAATGTTGGCAGCGACCATAGGTTGGTCAGAGGCCAGATTAAATCACATCTCAGAAGGGAAAGGAATAAACTCATACGAAAACCGCAGACAAACTTAGCTAAATTGAAGACCGAAGCGACAGAATTTAGCATTAACATCCAAAACAGATATTCACTTCTCAGTGATGAGGATCTCAACATTGATCAGATCAACAAACAGTTCAATGACATAATAAAGGAAGCTGCACTTGAAGTAGCTGGTAAGAACGTCAAACAAAGCTCCAGTAAGCTCTCGATGGAAACTAAAGAACTTAGGCAAAAACTTAGGGTCATGAAAGCATCGTCAATTAGGGACAAAATAGAATTAGCTGAACTAACAAAAACTATAAATAAAAAGAAGAGAGAAGATGTATGGAAATTCAATACTCAAATAATAAATGAAACAGTGATCTCAGATACCAGCATGAAAACAGCTAAAAGGAGACTAGGAATAGGAAGAAATCAAATATATGCAATAAGGAAACCAGACGGAGAGGTAACATATAATAAGAATGAAATCATAAGAGTAGTAGAAAACTTTTACAGAGATCTATACAACACAAATGAACAGCCACAAATTGAAGCGAACGCGGTAGCTAGAGAAGTACCTGATATCACAACAGAAGAAATAAAGAGAGCGCTTAAAGGCATGAAGAGAGGGAAAACACCAGGTGAAGACGGCATTAGTATAGACCTTATAATAGACGCGGGAGAAATTGCAGCAGTGAAACTAGCCAATCTTTTTAACAAATGCCTTCTCAAAGGAAAAATTCCGAAAGCCTGGAAAGATGCAACAATTATTTTGATTCATAAAAAGGGGGACAGGAAAGATCTAAAAAACTACCGACCCATAAGTCTCCTTTCAGTTACTTACAAACTGTTCACTAAAATCATCACAACTCGCATCTCTGACAGTCTGGATTCTAACCAGCCTAGAGAACAGGCAGGTTTCCGCAGTGGATTCTCAACAACAGACCACATACACACGCTTACCCAAATAAGAGAAAAAATAACCAAATATAGGAAACCCCTGTGTATAGCATTCATCGATTACGAAAAGGCATTTGACTCAGTACAAATTCCAGTAGTACTAGAAGCTATTCGAAGACAGGGAGTAGAGGAGATATATTGTAAATTATTAGAAGATATATACGAAGATGGGACAGCAACCGTCAAGCTCCACACAGAAACCGATAAAATCCCAATTAAGAAAGGTGTTAGACAGGGCGATACCATATCACTAAAATTGTTTACAGCATGCCTTGAGGAAATATTCAAGAAGCTGGAATGGACCGGAAAGGGTATCAAAATTGGGGACGAATACCTAAACAATCTAAAATTTGCAGATGATATTGTTCTCTTCAGTGAATCTGCAAATGAAATGCAGCAACTAATAAATAATTTGAATAAAGAGAGACTGAAAGTCGGTCTTAGGATGAACAAGAAAAAGACTAAGATCATGTTCAACAGTAGAGTTCATTTCGAAGAGATACATGTTCAAGGCGAAGCACTAGAGGTGGT